TAGCTATCCATATTGTTACAGCGGCATGTGCCGAATTGAGTTCTATAATTGCAAAGCAGCATCGGAACTTGCATGTGTAAAATCGTTTTGGACTCTACAAATTCTGTCGTCAGAACTCACATGTTGGGGCCCTTAGAAGTTTTGGACGAGGTTATACCATAGACTCAAAAGTATGGGAGGTAGTTTTCCAGTATCTTCACAATGTGCAAGTCATAGTTCTCGTACCCTACTCTGATCCCGTAGTTGTGGACCCGAACTAGCTAGCAAGCAGCTTCTTAGGTGAGCTAATCAACCATCCTGCGGAAGAGAATACAAGCTGAATGCATTCGGATGGCTTCATGAATGCGGAGAGTTTATAGAAAATTCTGGACACTTGTGTGACAAAGAGTTTCAAGACAGATCCGATTGATTACAGCATCTTAGAAGAGATGCTTGTGAACCTCGTACTGTGTTATACAAATCACGAGGGAAAATTTGATGATCCATAGAACGTGAAACAAACGATGTTGATGTCTCCAGCAAGAATTATAACAACTATTAGTTTTAACCTTTGCAAATTGAAGCCAAAGATACATCATGTAATCAAAACATAAAGTTGCACAATTTGAATACAACGTTTTTTTCAAACAATACATATTAATTTTATATCACTTTCAAAAACCAAGATGTAATCAAACACAAAAAGTCTGAGTAAACAAGCTAGCAATTGTTGCAAAAATATGCTTTGAATACAAAATCAAGTTAAATTATTTATACAATAGCATCACAATTGCTATTATGTGCTAGAACATCGATTATCATTGATTAAAATAAATAATATATAATAATACTAGATTTAAAGAATATAATATAATGAAAAATTGCTTGAAAGATTACAGTTTAAAATTTTGATTACTATGAATGTTTATATAATTGAATATAAATTTCAAAGAAAATATTGTCTTTTAATTTGTGAAAAAACCACATACTAATTATCTTTAGAGTTTTAATCTACATAGATATATTTGATCTAGAAGCATTTTTAATGAAATTTTATTTATACTATTTATGCACAATGATATTGCTTTGTGTGACATATAAAAAATTTTCCAAAGTAAACCACAAAGCATTATTAAAAAAATACAATGAATATAAAAAAAAATTATAAACCTTATAAACTTATCATAAGAAAAAACTAAATATATTAGACTTTACAATTTTAATGAAAGACACAAAATTGATGTAACATTTGATCTTGATCTATACATAATACATTAAGGTTTTAAATTAATAAAAAAAATTAGAAAATTTTGATTATAAAATCAAAATTGTTTGATTTTTTATAGGAATGAAAGAAATATCATATGTAACAAATAATCACAAGATTTTTAATTCAAAATTTAACTAATTATATTCTTAAAAATAAAAAAAATTAGATAAAATAATTTGAAGAAAATAATTTTGAAAATATTATCAAAAAATATAATATTTAATATTTAAAGTGTAGCGTCAACAGCAAGATAATAGTTTTGGATTTGATATAAAAAACTAGACAGATTTTAAAGATATGAAGATAAAAAATATTATTTTAAAATAGTTATATTTTATTTATAATATAAATAAAAAATAAAATTTTAAATTCATATTAAAATTTTAAAAATTATTCTACATCTTTTGAAAAATCATAAAGTTTATAATTAAAATTAATTTTAAAATTCCAAATTTTTACTCATTCAATGATGAAGTTATTGATTTTTGAACCTTTGATTGATGTGACAATTCACATCAATCATAAATTCACAATTGATGTGAAATATTTTATAATACTTTATAAAAATCGTGAAATTTAATTTTATTCCTATTATTTTGAAGCATGTTTACAAATGGCTTGATTATGATAGATAAAAAATTATTTGTTTTATAAAAATTTATTTTTTGATTGGCCAATTTATATTAAAAAAGAAAAAAATTTAAATTTTCATTAAAAGAAAAAGAAATAAAATTTAATATCACTTATGTTAAATTTTTTTTCGTAAATTTCATATTTATAAGAAGTTTCAAATTTGAGAAAAAAATTTATTTCAGCAAAAATATTTATTAAAAACATGATAAAAATTTATGTATCAAATTTGAAATTATGAGGAACAAAATTAAAATTTATTTAAAATAATAATGTGGATTAAATATTAATGGAAAAAATGATGTTATTTTAAATATCACATAACATCTAAATCTATTTTTTTATTTTATCAAATTATTTTTATGAGCTATAAAATTTAACAATTTTTTCTTCAATTTGTAAAAAAATAACTTAATTGTTAAAAAAATAGAGAAAAAAATGTAAAATCTGAATTAATACTTGAATATGAACACAATAATAAATCAGAAAATAATAATAATAATAATAATAATTTTGGAAAAATCAAATTAAAAGAGTGTGTACATTCGGTAGAGAAAGTTAATTTCCGTTAGCTTCAGAGTACACTCCTGCGCTCAACAGTTCTTCCAACGCTCCGACGCTCGCTCTCGAAAACATTTTGTGTGCCATATTCTTGAGGGGTTGAGAATGTTGTTCATGTAACCATAAACTTCTCACAACACTCTTTATCTTTATATTTCTTGTGACGCTCAAGAGTCTCTCCAGCCTTCTAAAATGGACTTCATCGCACTTTAACTCCTTAAGCCATGGAGACAAGCACATGGGCATGTGCTTGCAAGTACTGGCCGACTTGGCCACCATGGAATACAATCACAGCCTGCGGGCAGGTCGAGAGTTAACATTGCATGGCAGTTTTATAGTTTAATGTACTTCAAGCTATAGTCAAATCGCATGTCTAGAGTATGAAGAACAACGACGTAAGCAAACATAAAATAGGAAATTAGGGAAACCTTTGACCATCTCAAGCTCGCTTCAAGTGGGGATGTACAAGAGGGACAAGTAGTGTGTCTGAGACGCGTTTACAACCCCCATCCGAGGGTGGAGATCGCACCCTCGATTCTAGGATGGGTGGGCTTATGAATCCATTGATGATTATTAAATATTTAATTTTTTTAATCATCTCATCAAAACTTAATGTTTTTACAAGATTATTTTTTAAAAACACAAATTATAATATAAAAATAAAAATTTTATATTTTTATGATAAATTAATAATTTAAATTATTTATTAAAAATTTAGATACTTTTATTAGAAAAATAACAAATGAATTATCATCTCATCAGTTTTCAAATTTAGAAAATGTTCAAATGTTTGAAAAAAGTTGATATTAAATTATTTCAGAAAATGCGAACTACTGTAAAAAAATTGTTGGAGCAATTTAAATTTTTTTTAAAAAAATTTATTGAAAAATATATGTTAAAAATAATTTTCAAAAATTGTTAAATGTTAAATTCCTTAAATTTTGGTTTACATAAATTAATATTAAATTTAAATATAAATAAATGAAAAATATTATTTCGGAAGATATAGTTTTTTCCTTGAACTATATCAAACTTACTATTTATTTTAAAATGAGTGAAAATATTTGATATGATTTTTTCTGAATTTTTCAATAAAATTTTTTTTTGCACAGGTTTTTTTAAATTTTAGGCTAGATATTATATTGCGCATAATTTAATTATCCAAAGTGTTTTTTTTTATGAATTTAAATTATTGAACGGAAGATAGATACCTCTGATTTCTCTTATTGATAGAAATAAATAATATATAGGATGGTATTTTTTATTTTTTATTATGACATGACAAGCATTGTGGGTGTTGATGTTCATCTGAAGAAGCATATCAATCTTATTCATGTGTAAAATAAAAACGATCTAGCTTCAAAATAAATTTGAGTTAAAAGTTGGTGTAACATTGCGGTGGGATGAGATGATAATATTCTGTTATAAAAATATTGGTATTAATTAATTTTAATAAATATATATCATTTGAACTTATGTATTATAAATAGATTCTTTTGAAAGATGTAATATTTTTTCAATACAACATATAAAGTTGAATACATAACCATTGCAAATAAGAAAAAGACATTTTTAAATAATTTCATCAATAAAAATTATAACATAGACAAAAATAGGAAGTTATAATTCTTTATTATTTTAATTTTTTTAACATTTTACAAAAAATCAAAACAGTATCAGTAAGATAAAGTGAATACAATTTAACAATATATTCTTATATCTATGACTTCAATCAACATTTTCATGCTAAAGTGTATCAATTTATTTTTGTTGCATTTATCGTGAAATTTTTCACTATAAATGTAATCAATATCACAAACTTGATATAGATAGCATACATTTTGATACTAAAATTTATATATAAAAATAGTGGGGATTGAAGATGTACAGGTTATTTTGAAAATTAGGAACAATTTGAATGATAGTTCAAACTATCTTTGTGTTTATATACTTGGAGCTTCATGTCTGGATTTATATATCTTGAAAGACTGCCAATTAATTAAACAGATAAAAAGAAAAAATTGAGATGGAGGCAGATAGTGATGGTAAACTTACATACCAAGGATGAGAATTGTAACAGCAGGCCTCATAATTTCAGCCTCATGAAGAACACATTAATTTCAGTACTAGATGATTCATTGGATATATGATAGGTCATTAGATGTCATGATTTTTCTTTGGCAATGGATATTGGTTCAATTAAAAGAAAAATTGATGAGGATTGAAAATATAATGAGACAAGTCTCACAAAGTTCGAAAAATCTGCTTAGATGTTAAGAAACTTAACAATTTCAAAATCTGAAGCTTGTTATGGCGACAATGTATCATAACAAAGATTGCCGAGCTTGATGGAAACTGCAGAGAAGATAGCAAACAATTATATTGCACTAACAAATATACTAAGAACCCAACTTTTCACGTATATCTAAAAATTATTATTTATTTATTTATTTATTTACACTCATATTGGTAACCTTTTTAATTATATGGATGATTACTTTAAGAGTTAGTGAAAGAGTGCATAATATACTATCAGACTATCAGACCATAACAATGATTTGTTTAGATACATTGCGTAGAAGATTATTTTTTACATTGCGAAGTGTATTATTTTTTTCAGAGATCGCTTGTGCAGTGCATGGAATGCGAGTCGCGAAGGGCGAGGACACTTCACATGCTATGCAACTTGACTGATAGTTGCTCGGTCTGCAGTAGTGCAATATAATATGTTTCCTGGCCGGTTGGATTCATTGGTGGACTACTTGGTGGGGTCATTTTATCCTGTCTCTGCTATATTACTCGTAGCTCCACTTGGAGCGGCCAGGGGACGAGCCCACGACGAGGGGCATGGCAGGGCGACGGGAGGCAGGTTAAAGCGCAAAGAGCGGTCTCCTGTCCAAGTCACAAGAATCGAGGCCAGCGGAAAAGGAAAAGGAGAAAGAGAAAGTCCGCTCGAATCGGGAGATCGAGAGCGGGAGCCTGTCCTGGCGGATCTAAATTCGCAGTTTTCGACCTTCTCCAGCGGCCAGAATCCTGTTCCCAAGCACTCCCTCGCAGGAAACCCCGATCTGACACCAGCACAGCACCACGGGGATGGAGATCCAGAAATGACAGAGCAGGACAAAGGAGGACAACTAGAGTGACGGACGGAAGGAATGGGCGATGGTGTGTAAAGTGTATTACCACTACAAAAACGACAGCAACAGCAACGCCAGGGAGCAGTGGTCGCCCACGAAATTCTGAATGCTGCTCATCTTCCACTGCCGGTTGATACTCACGCAGCCTTCCGCAAGCCCTTATCTGAAGACACGGAGGAATTAAATTCGCCAAGATCCACAACGAATCTAAGACTGACAGAATGTGATCATAAAGGACGACCACTCTAAATTTATAATCTTCCCCGAAAGTTAAAGTGGTGGACATGCAGTCGACAGATCTCGGACGGATCCGAACCATGGCAGAACGTTGACAATGGGGTGCTCGGATCATGGACTGACCACGTTACTACCAAGTCACCCTCGACTGCAGTATGTGAAACTACGTGGTCTATCAACCTTCTGTATTGCACGGTGCGGTACAGATGGTGAAGTTCCGTAAGAGTTCTCTGCCAACTTCGGGAAGGACGCGGTGAAGCTCTCAGGCCAAAGGAAGAACGTGGTTCTGGTACAATTACATCAAACGTCAGTGTTCATTCATCTGCAGTATCCGGGAAAAATGCAAACATTGAACGTGAGTAAAATGCATCTTTTCCAAGTAGAAAATTGATTGCTACCAGAGCTTTGATTTCTTCGGAAGAAAATTAAATCGCCCTTTTATAATACCTCTTAAGAAAATGTCATCGATGTATCATCCATCACTTTCATCATTGACATACCTCCAGAAAAGAAAGGGAATGGAAGGAAACTCAGCTCGAGTCTAGAGTCTCAATTGTGTTATCAATCGGAAGGAAGGTACAAGTTTGGTCCATGAGCTGACGATGAGCATGAGAAAGGGTTCCGGTCAACAAACAAGTGGTCCCGGGCTTCTTCTCGGCGGAGACTGCATTCGTAGGCTGGCTCTCGCCATGTACGTAAGCCTGAATGTCTGCGGAGAGGAGGGCAAGAGTTCTCATGCAGCTCAACTTGGCTCCCGGTTTCACGACTTATCGAGACGTGCGGCAAAGGGCAATGGCCATGTGAGTCGTCCATGGCCAAAGTACTGTAAAGCGCTAGCGGGCAGCTGAGCTGAACGTGGAGGGAGCGAGGGAGAGGTTGTTGACTGGGAAAGGACATGTCTGCTGCTGATTCTGATTCTTGTCAGGGGTTTCGCTCGACTGGACGTTGTACGAAACTACGGAACGGTGGATCTGTCTCGCTCTACTGAACTTCTGAACTGAGCGAGTCCTGAGCGAGTCCTGTAAGGGTTCGAGGGTGTGTGAGATGCATGTGGACGTCTACAAGTTGCAGTACAAAATCCGATACCACCAGGATCCCGTCCAGTGCGCCCCCGAGCCCAAATCCCTGTCGACCGGAACAATCATTCTCTCTTCCGCCGGGGAACTGACTTCAGCGTAATATACGCTGAAGACGATGAGGACATGCATTCCAACAACTCTCTTATCTCTATCAGTTTCTTGTGATACACGATTTCCATCTCCGGCCATCTCTAGCACACGGTGAAAGGGTGATTTATGCATACACCTTAAGTTATAAGTCCGCTTGAGTTAAAGGCTCCTATGATTTTCTCGTTCCCATGGAGGAAGAGAAAAACCTCCTGTTGGAATCGGACGATACGTCACGGTCCAACCGTCTGAGCATTGAATGTCCATTTGGCGACCGACCGACTGAGCTCGAGTGTTGAGACTTTGTCTGTGTACTTGTGCGTTGGTCCTGTCAGAGAAGAGTAGCACAAATGTGACAATGATTTTCCTCGGCAGACGAAGGCAGAAGATGTGAAAGTCCACTCACATCTTTAACGCAGTTTCCCATCACGCACCGTAATAATGCCTGGGCGACCATAATTCTGAGCTACTCCTCCTCCTCCTCCACCTGCAGCCAGTAAGGGCAGCGAGGATCGAGTTCGCCAAGCACTCGAGTGAAGTCGACCCATGTCGTTACGCCTTTTATGGGAGGAAGGGGGAGCATTGGAGCAACGACCTCGAACCGGACCGGACAGGAACGGAACGAAGGCCATGGAATAAATGGGAGGTAGTTCGCATTCTAGAGAAGCGCACCAATCATCGATCGAAGTCTCGATGGAGACGGTCGTGGTCCGACGAATCATAAAGGAAGTGGCCATAGCTCGACGTCTCATTTAACCATGTTCCTGGCACCAGAGGAGGCATCCATCGACCAACAACCTCTTCCACGCATCGCTCCGATGGATCATGCAAGAAGACGACGGACGAGGCATTGAATGAACGAACGAATGAATGAATGAATGTCCGCCCGCTCTCGTACATGCACGACGACGAGCTCGCCTCGCTGCGGTCAAAGCACGAAAGTACCGCCACCGTCTGGACCCTGGGCCTCGAGGCCTCGAGGCCTGCAGGAACGAGGGCCTTCCTTCAGCCGCGCCCCGCTCGACCCGCGGCTGCCACGTTCGGATGCACGGACGCGCCATTGATGACACCGTGGCGGATTTCTCTAACTCCACGCCCGCGAGGCGCAGATTTTATTCGGCCATGTGCCCGGGCCGTCCAGCTGTCCCGGCAAGGCCGTTGAGACGCTCCACCCCAACAGTCAGGAGAATTCGAATGCGACGACGCCCGTCGACTGCCGCGCATTGCCTCCTGCGAAGGCAGCAGCGGCAGAGGGCTTGTCACGGGGCACGATCCATTCCCTTCTATCCGCCCACCGACCGACGACCGGCAACCGACGACCGCTCGCAGACGGGTTCAGTTCCCTCCCTCTCTTTGTGCGTGTATGACTGACGGACAGACTGCCTGACGGACAGACTGACAGATTGACCGATCCGCATCCGTAACAGACGTGGTGAGCGGTCAAGATCCACGCCTGACGTGCCCCGGATCCGATCGTTGGCAACTGCGTAGGACTCCGGTCACGTTCCTCTCCTGAGCGTGAGGGATACTTTTGCTTCGCGTGACGGGGATATGAATCCATCCATCGGGTAGACGAACGCTTTCCTTGCCATCGCTCGCTCCGACATGTCTGTCAGAATACTCGGAAGGTCGCGACGGCGCCGATAATCTAGAGGTCCAGGATCTGGCGTTTGCCGGCGACACGCACACGCTGACTTTGCACCTCTTCGCGATAGGTATTTCGACACTTCGGCCTTCGGATGTTCTTGTCCGCCGAGCATGGCCGTTCGGCTTTTACTTGAGGCCGAGACCGGAAGATTACTACACATCCGCCACTCCAGAAGTCAACACCGTCACTCTACTCCCGCCGTAGTTCTCTAACAGATGGGTAACCACACTTGCCAGGTTCACACACCATAATCGACCACAGCTTCCAGACCTACCGAGTCGCGTATCTCAACCTTTGTGAGTGAAGAAGGTGTGAAAGAAGATATGACGCTGGCAAATCGAAAACTGTATGCACTACAGGCGCCGATTAAATTGTAGCCACGGATCCCTTGAAGAAACTCGCTGTCGCAATTCCGGTTGGGTGCTGAACACTTCCAGCTGAGACCGAAACGAGGCCAATACCAATTAGACCGAATCAGTGCAAGTAGCATACATGTGCATATACGACGAGAGGACAAGTGAGGAATGCATAGAAAGCAGACACAGAACCGCTTCCGCGCGTCGCATTCGACGGCCGAACTTTCTTAACTCCACCCGTGCGACCGTTCGACTGCGGGATGTTTTTTTTAAGAAGATTGACATTGGGGAATTGCAATCCAAGGACATGAGACAAACTTCACTTCGACTCCACCTCGACTTTAACATCGCCAGAGCAGCAGACTCTCATCTATTATTTCATACACAAAACTCGGTAACAACCCATCGAGACAACTCCGCAACAATGCCCTTGCGACATGATCATCTCGTGTTTGTATTCGGAACCCCGGTGATCTCTACCCTCTCGATTGCTCGACTAATTACTGAAATGTTCCTCCACCAGGTGAGCTTCACCAAAAGAACCTACAACGATAACAGACTCCCGGGCTTTTTGTACACTTCGTAGAACTTCACAGAATCTTCAATTGAACAATAGATCTACAATGTCATGAGCTTGCTAGCAAACTCTCAAAGCAAGTGCCTCTGCCTCGATCCTTTTCCTGGATCGATCTTCTTCCTGGCAGTTTCCTCGAGAGAAGCTCAAATCCTTGGCAGTTAAGAGTGGGGCTACTTCTTCACCAGATCACGTCAACCAAAAGTGACGAGGTGAATGATAGCGTTAACCAGGTAGGACATACTCCATCCTGCTCTGGTGAGTTGAATCTCTCTATTTTACTTTCCACCTACCCAGCATCGCAAAACTCCGGGATTCCAAAGCTAGTTGCATTCAAGACAAATTCGTTGAACATGCATACATCGCTGGAATCTCGCACTATCCAACACAAGAATTTTATATATACACTGTTTTGCATAGCTCAGCGTATCCTAAGTACTAGCCAAGCTTTTAAGCAATGGGTCCATCCATATCGCCACGAAGCCAACTTTGCACTCAATGGCCTGCAGCGAACCAGTCCTAAGCCATAGGGTATGGCTTCTTGCAGAAGCCCGGTTTCAAGGATGAAACATGGCTTTCTTCTCTGCCTAGCACATGTATCAGCTCATCGATAGGAGAGAACCCAAAAAGCTGGAAGCCCACAAAACTCCCAGCATTTCTAAACTGCATGCGGTGCATGCACCGCATGTAATAACCGAACTTACAAAACCTTTGCAAAAGCAAACAGGCAATCCGCTTTGATACCTGCCTCCAGTTCGTGTATTTCACTCGCAGGCTAACTTGGTATCAAAGCTGCTCAAACAAATGGCAAATGCCTGGAACGCAGAAAGAGGGTAGCGATAATCCATAGTGAACATATCCTTCCCGATCTTACCAAACTGCAGCAGCACTTTATCATGGTCGCTTTGATTTTGAGCAGTAGTTTGTGCAGGCTCAGTGGCAGCAACAAGTTGGAAATTTTTTACCGATGCAACTGTCACGCGACCTCGGAAATTCAGACACCAGCACTGAAGCTGTTCATGCCATCGAGGAGCCTTGTTCTTCAGCACCAGGGGTCCGTCCTTCGTCAGGAGACCACTTGAGTATTCACAGTCGGCTGCACTGCAGTCTGCAACTGCTGACTTGGACTTTGGAGAAGATAGAAAGCCCGAGTGTGGAATCGTGTCATCGACGTTCATAGTACTAGTAGAGAACTCGGTCGGAGTGGGTGCGGATCCATTCGGCTCCATGGCGGATGCGGGTATGGTGTGAAGAGTACATTGCATCCGCCTTGGACCCCTAGTACCTAAGACGTTTAACTCATACGCTATGTGAGCGACATTATAACTACCGGCAGGTACCCTTGGAGAAACTTGTTTGGAACCAATCCGCCTCCCTGCCCTGTTGGTCGAGGCAATGGCCCCGCTGTGAGGGGGTTGACTATCATAAATGGTGAACTTAGTACCCAGGAAGTTCGATCTGCCACATAACAGCCCAAAAAAGAGTTCAGACTCCAGCAAAAAAGTCAAAAGCCAAACGTTTCCGTGCATCCTAGACCAATATTCTCCTGGGAAAAACATCTCACGCTGCCCACAGAAATAAGACTGCTATTTCCCACGTGATTGGCAATGTAAACACTAGACGCAATGCCTCTTTGTTGAAGCTGCTCAGAACCTATGAAGCAGTTGACTACATTCAAAGGTCTAATCGGTCAGACAAGCAAATACACAGCCCTCACCGCAGCTTTCCAACATAAGTGTTGCTTCCACGAGACATATCTTCCGCGTCCAAAGAAATAATGTAATCAGTGCTCGTAGCGCGTCGAAATTTTCGAGCAGCCAAGAGAAATTTTCCATTCTCCATCGAAGCTGGACAATCCACAATGCAGGATTACTCCATCAGTAAACCCTGGGGAGGCAGAAGTCTAAAACTGAACAGCACAATCTCATAACCAAAAAATTCAATACCACAATTCCACTACAATGCGGCACACAAGAACTCTACGAAAAGATGCGAGTTCACCGCCAAAGCTGGTAGAAAGGTAAGGGCGAAAACAGAAATCATTGGAATAATGGACTGCGTAGTAATACTTGGAGGAGTCCCCAGATATAACTGGTAAGTGGATGTTGTTCTATCACGCCTTATAAAACATTGGACGGTGCTGTCGCGTGGCCCAGGCTGCAAGGTCAAAGAAAACAGGATCAGGAAGAACCGTCGATTCGACAAAGACAGAAATCAGCATTGTCAGTCCTATTCACCCGCTCTCCCACAGTCGGCTGCGAATGGACCTCTGATATGCGGCCATCTTGCAGGGCACTCAATGTACTCACCATAAGTGCCAATACCATAAGCTAGACTCTATAGTTCTCTGAATTCGATAGCCGACAAACATCGCAGAACCAGGAGTAATTAACATCTAAGAGAACATAAGGATCACTCCAGAAGAGATCCACATGTTACATCCGGATCTAACTGCTACCAGAGATCCACTACAAGATCCAGTCAAATGCAACAAGAGGAAGGCGACCATCACCTTCCACACACTGTACTAAGTTCTAATGTATCACATTACCCCGCTTGCATTTGGGACGATCCTAAATCTACATGAGACCGAAAACAATGGATGGCATGATAACCATGAAGCAAATCCGACGCCGGTTACTGACACAGTAGTGCTTCAATGGCGTAACAGTGAAATCCAAGAATTGTGCATAATGTCGACAAGAATCAATCACACCGCAGAAGGGGACATCAGAAATAACCTGGTCGACGGTAACAAACTATAGCTTCTCACCTGCTTCAGCGAAATAGGAAATGTCAACTTTCCAGACTGCTCGGGAGTCTTGACAAGCTCCTTAGTTATTTCCCTCCAGCTGCTACATACGGATGCACATGCAACAACGTGCTTGCGACAGGGCCAGACACCTTCACTAGATTCCACGCGCTGAATCACATCGCGCAGCAACTCCGGTGGCATACTGGCCCAGCAGCTCTGCTGCTGGAAAAGCTCGACCTTAAGGTGCGTCTCATCTAAGACGACGCTGCTGGACCGGCCCCTGCTGTGATGGGGGAATTTCACATCGAAGCTACGCCTTGATATGCTTCCGATGCCCCCCTTCATCTCCTGGATGATACTTTTGAGGGGCATCAAGGTAAACTTTTTAAATACACGTCCTAAAAGTGATGAGGAGAACCTGGAGAACACTCTACGAACTGGCTTAATGATGTCCTGTGTATGTGGAAGACCTGCAATCCACAACCTCAGCCGAGGCCTTGGCTTCTTAATCTTGGACGTCGTGAGAGACGGAAGCAGATCCCAACCACAATTGCCGCTGGTAGCCAGACCCTGACTTCTCTCAAGTTGAGATCGATGAAAGCGCGTGCATCTTCTTACAAAGGCTCCGAATCAGGCGGCTTGAGGCTCCCCTGTCGTGAACTGATCATTCTGACAACCACCAAACACAGGCTCCGAATAAATAACTCGACCCGCAGACCAACGTCCCGGCAGATACATTACAGCCACTGTCAAGGCTAAAACACGACGTCTCCACATCTCACATTCCTACAAGCAGCCTAGAAGCAAAACCGGGGCGCACTCATGGCTCCTATAGCAAATTGAGCCGGACGCAGACGAACTTACGACTCTAGAGGAGAAACATACCTTGAAGGTAAGCCCCACTTGATGACATGTTGTATCCCTTGCAGAAAGTCCCAAGGAGAGCAATACCAGCAGAAGTCCTCGGAAGAAGATCAGGTGTAATGGACAAATAAGCCGTGGGTCACTGCAGCTACCCTTTAGGTAACAATTCCCATGTGCCCGATGAGAACATAAAACGTATGACCACCGTCGTCAGACGGTCTTCGGTACAAACCCCTGTTGCAGATTTCCGACTCCACGGCGATACACCAGCGAAGATGGCGGTCATACAAGACCGAACTATAACCGTGCTTCTCTAGTATGGTCTAAGCATCTACAGATCGAGTAGAGGAGCGAAAAAAACTGTTGCAAAGTGATTTCCGGGATCTAATCACAACTACCTGCCGTCCGGCCCAGTTGAGAGTCTCGAAAGCACAAGTGAGTAATAGTAAGCTTCAGACGTCGAGCTCAATATACATCGAGGGCTAGAGATCTGGAAACAGCTCGTATCCAAAGCGGAGGACTATAACCTGCTGCAGAGCACTGACTGGAACCGGCGCAGAGGAATCCGTACGCACAGAGAGCAACCCTGGATAAGATCCGACCAGAAATTGAGATGGTTACAAAGACACGAGGAGGAGGAGGAAGACCTTCGTCACGGTCCAGAATGGCACCCGAAACAGCAGCAGAAGGGGAGCGCTAATCTGTCCTCCTAGACTAATGACCCGCTGCCACCGCACTTCTCAGCCCGCTCGTGGGCTTATCTGCCATGCTCTGAAGGTTCCCCCTCGCCCCGCCTGTTACACGTCTCCTTCTCCTCCTCCTCCACTCTTCCAGAGCTCCTCCGCCTTCGCCGCTGCTGCTGCTGTATCCGAAGGCCTCGTCGCTCGCACGGCAGCCCGACGCTCAATGTTCTTTCCGGGCTCGGGTCTGACTTGTGTCTGTCTTTTTTTCGGTTTTCCTCGCACTTTCCTTCGATCTCGTTCGGAGACACGGGTCCTCTTCAGCGGGCCAGAACCCCGTCGCACAGCACCGCAGATTGTCAAGCAGAAACCTCTTCGTATTCGCCTCCGCAAGCATCAGTTGTTCTGCTAGGGAAAATAGAGCAAACACCCACACTCGCACACTACGGTGTTCGTCACTTCCCTTCTCACCTATCTTTCTGACCGTCTGCACTTCCGTTCCAGGCCTTGCAAGCTCGGTTTCGAGGCAAACCTATTAGCACGCCGGCCCGCTCGACCTCTTCTCTTCCTCCTCCTCCTCCTCCCCACTGCTCCGCTTTCCCTGAAGGCCTTCGTCGTCCAGCCTCCGCCTCGGGCACACGTCTCACTGCCACCCTCTTGCTTCCGGGCTTCCAACCAAAAAACTTCTCCGAACGATTTCTACTGCCTAAAACTAGCAACTAGCACACACCGCACGCTTTTCCGGGTCCAATCTGATCGCCTCAATCGATCGACCGACCCGCACCCTCTCCCTCGCTCCCTCCCTCTCCCACTGGCAATCGGCTGATACTTCTTCGTCGATCCCAGCTGTCACGTTTACTTCCACTTCGTCTCACTCTCTCCCTCCCCTCCCTCCCTCTCAGCGGCAACAGCACCACCACTTTCGTCAATCCTCCCTCCACTCCATAGCTTTTCCTTTCCCTCGCCTCGCCCCCTCACCCCCCACCCTACCCTCCCCTCCTCTCGCTCTCTCTCTCTCTCTCTCGCTCGCTCGCGCCCGCCCTCGCTCGTCTCCTGCTCGTGGTCGTCTTCCTCGGGCGTCGTCCCTCATCCCTCCCTCCCTCCCTCCCTCCTCCTCCTCCTTCCTTCCTTCCTTCCTTCGGTCCGGGCTCCATCATCCCCATCAGCGGCTCGGCTCGGCTCGTATCGGCAAGGTTCGGCACGACTCGGCTCGGATCCGCTCCGCTCCGCCGCCCACATCGGAGCGCAATGCTGAGCGCCTCCGGGAGATCGGCTCGGAGAGGCCAGGGCAGGAGCAGGGAGTCGCAGGACGGACGGATATACGGTTTTTGAACGGGGGAGACAGGGGATCGGCGGTGCGGCCAGTGAAAAATATCCGGCACGGGCCCCCACCGAGGAGGATGGGGACGGGGGAGCGCGCAGTCCCGTCAGATTAGGCTTTTGGGTTGGCCAGCTCTCTGACTTTTATCTACCGGCGGAGGCCCGTCGATGCGGGCGATCCAAGGGCTCGGGGCGGTCACTCGGAGTCTGTTCCGGAACATTTCGACAGGCGCCGCGAGGGTGACCGCGGCCTCGTCCACCGGATAAAAGGTCGCGTCGCGTGCCCGCGCCTGCTGCTCCTGCTCTCGCTCTCTCTCTCTGACTTCCGCCTCAGGGCGCTTTCCTCTCATCGATTCCCGGCATCGACGACTGGCACTCTGTCAGACGGAGCGGCGAACTCCCTTCGCAAGGACTTTCCATTCACGCGGTTTTCAGACCGACCTTTCTGCCGTCCCTCGAATTGCCGCTCGCGTACCCTTCCGGCGGACTCTCCGATGCAGAACCATGTCGTTCCTACAGTACACATGCACCAGCTTTATTAAACCTTTATTTTCGGAAATTCGTATTATAAAATAGATCGTTTATTCTGCGCCTTGGTGCGCCTGTCGTGCTGGCTGTCGTGAGTCGAAAGTTGCCTTGAAGGTTCTTTAATGAAGACCAGGACGAGTCGACGTACGTCTTTATTATTATTATTATCGACAGCCATCACAAGAAAGGGCTGATGGCAGAGTTTGCACGGACCGGATGCGATGCCCCCGTCCGATCGACGGCTGCCTCCTGCCCTTGACCGCGGCCCTCGCCGATCTTCGATTTCATTTCCCCGAATTTCCCCGTCCCCCATTTCTTTATCGATTATCGGGACCTGCTAAATTTGGCCATCAAGGCACATGCTGCTATCGTTGCGATAATCGTAGTTAGTGCCTTCGGTGACCATCACTCTCCGAACGAGGGCCATTAATTCTCCAACGGGACCAACATCACGGGCCCGGCGTCTCTCCGTCCAGAAGGCCGCCCGACACGTGTTCGCCCGATCGGTCACCGGTCGCAAACTCGTCCGTCGCTCGGCAGCCGAAGGCGAACGATTTCTCGTGTTCGGGTTGCCATCCCCGGCTGCCAATTCCGGCGCGGCCCGGAAACTCGTTTGACACTCGAGTCGGAAATGCGGAATGTGAGCTGCCCTTGCGTGGATGATCCATCTCCCACGCGTGAGTTCGGCCCATCCGTTGAAACTGGACGGATGTACTTCTGCTTATATCATTATCGGATAACGGGACAGATTTGTCTCCTTCCTGCCACTGTCTTCAGATCCCACGTGTTTAGTCAAGGCTCTGGCTAATTTACTCGCGCAAGCCCGTATTATAAGCTTCATGCTAAATTATGGTTATTCTCCTGGTCGTGCTTGAAGCTTCTCATGGCTGAAACCGCGATGTACGTGTCAGAATTGCAGAAAGTCTCGGTGCAAGTCGGTTGACATGGATGGATGAATATATGCTGGCCGGGCCATTGGTGTTAGACTAGGTCAACCGGATGAGGTGGGGTTCGCTCGTTCATGTTTACTCCAGGCTAAAGATACACCCGAGATCAGGAGCTATAACAACTACTGCAAAATGAACTATATCTTGATTGGAAAGGTCTATCTATCCAGAGCACCCAACTTGGCCACTTTACTTTACTGCTTGCTGCTGCATTTGCAGCTTTTTGTCCACGTATGCATACAATAAAGATTGTTCAAAATACCAGAGGTGGGAAAACTTTTTGTTTAATATGTTCCGGGACTTGCATTCAGTTCGGGTGTAAGTACTCAACTATGGCATATCCGAGTTCTTATTTTATTTCTACATCACGGTCAACTTGCATACTGTAACTAAAGTATCTTGCAGATTGCAACATGGATAAAGCCATATGTCCATTACAAAATGATTTTGGCTTTTTAATATCAAGATAAATTAGGTTCGAACTTTACTGAAAACCAGCTGAGTTCATTCTACGTGCCAACTATCACATTTTTGCATCAAAAGCGATGAGATATATATGATATTATCTTCGCTTCACATGGAGACCTGTTTTAGAAGGATAGTCTACATCACTTTGGTACGGAATATTAAATTTGTACCTTGTGAAAAGTGAAATATTCTCTTTTAAAAAAACCTGAATTGTAAAAACAAGGTTTTTAAAACACACATTCATACAGTAACAAAATTCCTACTTTCATATGATAGATCAGCAAAACTTCGCGACGAGTGAGGAATATCCCTCATACTCTTCAACTAAATTTTCTAATTTTTACAACAAATCAAATAAGATATATGACTGTTGAATAATAAATGCCAACTTGTTTACATATAAAAGAAATATCATCTAGACAAAAATTGAAATATTTTTTTTAAAATAATCTATATTATATTTTGGAAGTAACAAGTAATAATGATATGGTCTAAAAAATGATTTAATTTAAATGTACTTCACTTACTGCAAAATAAAGATAGAGTTATACAGCCTGTCTTTGCATCATATGATGTGGGACAACATGTCTTTACATCGTTGATAATATAATCTCACAAAACGTATTCAAATATATATTAACAAATATAAATATATATATCTGAAATTTCTTATGTAATTATGCTATACTTACACTTCACAAAACAAACGAGGGCAAGATTTTAAAAAATGCAAATCATCAGAGAAAAACCATTTTGAAACAATATTATAATTTTAGTTTTTTATTATAAACAAATGAAATTAACAAAAATCGAATTGGTGGATATTATTGAGGAAAATTTAAGAATTGATTGACTTTTGACACGTTATTCATTTATGAAAGTAGTAAGTTAGTTTATGGGACGAACATTCAAAAGTTTTAATTTTAAAAATTTAACAGATCACATAACATTTCTGTATACAAAACATTTGTATAAAACATATATTGAATCTCTTAATCTAAGTCTCAAAAAAATCAATATTTTTCAAAAAACGATAACAATAATTAATTCAATTTTTAATATGCTGTATTCAATGCAAGAATAATCTTTCATATATATATATATATATATATATATATTGTCCAGCATATTCAACATGTTGTAATGATGTTAAGTATCTAGCTATGTAAAATCATTACAACATGTTGAAAAAACCAATCACAAAGTTGAATAAATGTATGCAATTGTATTTAATTAATGCATTTGTATATGATTTAAACATAGCACCTGTATAAAAACATTTATAAATCATAAAATTAAAAAATACAAATCGAATTTATTTAATCACTGAATACATCATATAATATATAAATTATAAAAAGATGTGTAACATTTATAACTCCATAGAATTACATATTAAATAAACATATATGTGTGTGTGTCAACAAATCATATGCAACACAACATATTAATCTTATATTAAACTAATTAACTTAAATTGAAATTTGAAAATTTTTTACAAAATAATTCCAATAGTAACTGTATTAATATGTTTCATGTATGAATTCAAGCTACTGATTTATTTATGATAAATGAAAAAAATAATAAATATTTATATTTATATAGATATAGTACAGCTAATTTATAATATAAAAAACTAAACACATTTTTCCATATTTATAAAATTCTTATACAAATTTTTAAACGATTTTCATTATTTTTATTACACACACATATATCAAAAATAATTTTAGAAGTAATCATCTGATTAAAAAAAATTGATAAATTTATTCCAATATTATCAATAAAAATGAACATCACATGACTTGTCCATTCATTAATTATTAAATGATGGAAATAAGAATTTGCGTTAAAAAATGCATCATATTATTTTCCAAACAATTATGATGTTAGACAATACAATATTATGATGTTGAATTGTTCTGTACATGTATTAAAATGCTATAAAAAACATATTTTAAATTGTGAAATGAGATGAATTTTTTTATAATATAATAAATATTTACAAATTTTCCTACACACTACATGAATCAACGTATCATTATTATTCATTTAATAAGTAATAGATGTTATACTACATCATGCATCTTTAGAAAGAATTGATGATTTTAACTTTAGTTTTAATATTATATTTTTATATAAAAATGGATATTTGCTTATTAAAAAAAAATTAACACATCTTTGAAAAATAATATCAAATTGAGTTTTTTGTAGTCTAAAATTTGACGAATAATGTATTTGAATACATTATTTTATGTTATGTTTAAAAATTATGTATATGTTTGTTTTTTATGATATTAAAATATCAACATCTATAAGCATTATGTGATTAGATGTTAACATTAAAAAACTGATGAATATAAGGTTTTTTATAAATACTATATATATATATTTCTTTTTAAAAAAATAAAATGGATTTAAAATATATATATATATATATATATACTTTTTAATCGTAATCAATGATTGTATTGAACAATGATAAAAAAAAACAATATGATAATCAAGTAGATACACAAAAGAAATATTAGAAAAGAAATATACGTGTATATATATATATATATATATCTATTGTTTGAACAATTCATGCTTGTTATTACGACTTTTGCATGAAA